TTAGTGGGAGAGCTGGGGAACCTCAGACGCCACACTCCCCACCCTTTCTGTTTGGCTAGAGGGACCTCAGACCCATCTGCCTTTGAGGGCCTGGCAGCTGATGGAAATCAAGGAAGCCCGACTGGGTAGTTGGAAAGGTGCCAATGTGGGGCATAACCGTCCCATCAAAAGTCACTCACCTTCATGTTTTACTTTAAACACTGTCCACACCTAACCAGTCTCCCAGGTCTGGCCACACATTTGAGATCTGTCAAATAGGGTCTGCACTCCTCTGTGGCATCTGGGCCACGGTGAGGACTCTGGAGCCTGGAAGGTTTAGGCTCGTCCAGAGAAGCAGTGTGAGTTAAAAGTCCCTAGCAGGGAGCTAAGTAATTTCTATCAGCGGCAACTTGCAAAGTGAAAGGTCTCAGCTTGGGATTCAGGTGATCCTTTCGTGGTGAGCAGCGCAGCGGGGGGCATTTCATCCCCAGGCTACACCCCTGCTCACTGGGAGAAATGGCAGCTCCTATTTCGGCAAAAAATACATTCAACAAGCTTTCGGAGCAAGTGCAGCAGCAGAGGGGGTGGTGAGAGGGGCAAACATCGGCCACACTTTTTGCTGAAAATTCAGTTGGGAATTGGTGCTGTGACCTACATTACTCCAGCCCTCACCCCTGTAACTTTTCCCTCCCCTTCACAAACAGCCGACCGTGATGCAGTTCCCCAGGATGAATTGCTCTGCAGTAAACATTTTAATAATGCGCTAAATGCCAGCACAAGAAATCATGTGAGCCTTCACCAATGTGCGGTCCAGTTCCGCAGGATGAGTTCTTGGAATCCAAGCCTCCCTCATTAACGCACTTTCAAAAGAGCACCTGACGTCCCCGCGGCGTCTGCTAACCTCTGCCACGCGTCACGTCTTGGCGCCCACCTTTCCCTGAAATGCTGGGGGGTGCAAACGACACGAGGCTCCCGAGGAGGGGGCCAGAGGGGGCTGCTCTTCCCCTGCTCACCATCTTGGGGCGGGGGGGCGGGCAGACTCCGGTCCCCATCTGACACACAGAGTTCAAAATGGGAAAGAAACGGTCTGCTTCCCGCCGCCCGGCTTTCTGATTCGGCCTGCTGACGGCCCTGGCGGGGACGGCGGTGGGAGGCGGGGAGGTTTGGAGAACAGATCCGACCAGCCGATTCTTCAGCTCCCAGATCGGAGCAGATGGCAGATTACTTGGAGGTCGGGACGCCCCTTGCAGAACACAGAGCAATACTGACACCCGAAAGAAGAAAAACAAAGTGGAGACGTGTGTGCAAAAGCGAGTCCTGCTGGATGCTGGACCCCACAAGCCTAAAGGCTCTAAGGAAGATTTATGAAGAAAACGGAGCAAGTTCTACGCACAGGCTTTGAGTCCCCTGCCCTCCGCCCCTCGCCAACCCCAAATAGAGAGGGACCACCTTTCGGAAGTTTGGCAGTGGGGCAGCTCTCAGAACACGCGCAAGAGCAGCGTGCAAACCGAACGCATCTTGGGTGACACAGGGTCCGGTCTCCCATCCGGCCTGTATGGAGAGGCCATCTGAGCGGCGGGTGAGAGGCAGGACTGCGCGCCCGAGTGTCTGCTGGGGGCCAGGCAGGAAACGCAAACGAGCGTAGGAGAAAAGCAGCCAAAGGCCAACAGGGGAAGGGGAAGGCTCAGCTCGGCTCAGGGTCCAGGAGGCAACGGGGAGGGGGTCTCGGTGAGGGCAGGCAGCACTGCTCCGCGGCAGCCAAGGGTGGCGGGGCGCTGAATGGGGGCGTATGCGTCTGCCCCCTGCCGTGACACAATACCACGGACTGCGGTGGCTTACTTCAACAACAGACACTGATTTCTCACAGTTCTGGAGGCTAAGAGCCAAAGTGCTGGCAGATTTAGTTCCGGGTGAAGGCTCTCTTCCTGGCTTGCAGATGGCTGCCGCTCACGGTGTCCTCACGTGGCAGAGAGAGCGAGTGAGCGAGCAAACGCCAGCGCCTCTTCCTCTCCTCGTAAGGGCGCTAATCCCATCGTATCGCCCTTACGACTTCCTGTCAACCTCATTACCTCCCCCAACCCCCACTTCCAAATACCATCACGCTGGGGTTAGGGCTTCCACACGTGACTTTGGGGAGGACACACATGTGCAGTCCCTAACACGCGAGGACCAAGTCTCAGTTTTCCAGAGAAGCCTCATACGTGATTTGACACTGCTATTCTGAGGTTGAGGACACTTCAGTAAAAGTAAACAAAAACCAAAACTCCACTGGACTGGTCAGATAAAAGATCGGGGGTGGGGGCGGGGCGGGCTCATTCCACAGGCTCCAAGTTTTACCCCGAAACACGGGATGTGGCACCGAACACCTGGGGCTCCCCGTGCGCTGGCTGGGTAACCCTGGGGTCAGCGGGGGACCTCTCTGGGCCTCGCTCTGCTCAGCAGTTTTGAGTGGAACCTTACAAAATTGCCACTTTTATCGGCAGGTTTATAGGGTGCCACCTAATAGGTTCTCAGGAAGACTGGGAAGATGAGTTCAAGTAGGGGACCCCTGAGCCGGTGCCTGTAGTCAGCAGTCAGCACATGGAAGGGGACCGGAGGCACCTTCCTTAGTAAACACGCCTACTTCTGTTCAGTAGCTGAAAGGGGCTTTTAGAATCCTGAGTCAGCATTTGAAAGAACCGAGGACGTCTGTCAAGCTTTATGACAATAATTATCCTTTGTAGGGTTTATGCCCTTAACCAAGAAAGATCTGGGTTTTTCAAATCAGAAATTCCTCAGGGTGAGATGTGAGCTGAGCGCCAGGCACGCACAAGCAGGAGATCATCGCAAGGAGACTTACCAGCAGCGACAAATCGGGCCGCTGCTCACCTTCTGTCTACCCCAAGATGAACCAATCTACACACTCCAACCTGGAATCCCCACCTCACTCACAAAAGACAGACATGGGCCGGGCAGCATCATCTGGACCCCGGGAAAGCCAAAGGGAGCAAGTGGTTTAATTCTGACCGGGGTCTAGGCTAGCGTTTCCGTGGAAGTTTGGCGTCAACATGGTGTCATCTGCCACAATCTCTGACTGAGATTCTTTGTGCTTTTCTGTTCTCTGTGCTAATTACACACAGAAGGTTTCTCCCTCAGCTCTGATGAACGTAGCCGCACGGCCGAGCTCCCCCAGCACACTGAGCTGCTCGGTGAACATACAGTTTCCACGATCCCGCAGGCCGCTGTTTGGTAAAAGCCCAATCAGAGAAACCCGGGCTGCCCACGGCAGGCAGGAGGGACGCCAGCCGGCCCGCGAGCAGTCTCTTCTCCTCAGACTGGGGCAGGCGGCCTGGCTTCGCATCAGGGTCTTAGGACCGCCTAACTTGGTTTTCAGTGGGGAATTTAGCCCAAACTCACAGGACTCAGGGACAGGTTAATTTCCAACACATATCGCAGGCCAGGTGGCTGCCTTTAAAAGAACGGGAACTCCCCTCACGAACCATTACGGCGCTTTCCAAACAGCGAGACTAAGCCCCAGCATCACCAGGGAATGACTGCAAAATGTGGTTTTCCATAGCGAGCGTTTAGAAAAAAAGGTGGCTTGTGGGGCGCCTGGGTGGCTCTGTCAGTTGAGCGTCTGACTTTGGCTCAGGTTGTGGTCTTGTGGTTAGGGAGTTCGAGCCCCGGCGTCAGGCTTTCTGCTGTCAGCGGGGAGCCTGCTTTGGATCCTCTGCCCCCCTCTTTCTTCCCCTACCCCCCACTTGCACTCTCTCTCAAAAATATACCCTTAAAAAAATAAAAGAAAAAAAAGGTGCCTTTTACCAGATGCAGAATACAAATTTTGTCGTCTTACAAAAGCCCTGAAAAAATCAGGAAAACATGAGCAAGCTGCAATCGAGAGGGGCAGCTGGCCAACGTCGGCCTGGTCGGAAGTTCAAGCTGGAAATGCCGGGAGGTGGGACCCAAGGCAGACATAAACAGGGTAAGCCCAGCTGAGGTCACAGCATCACCGTTAATGAGGACAGACCCCTGGACCTTCAGCGGACTGTTCTCAAGAGCTACGCTGAAAAGAAACACTTATTTCACTCCAGCACGTCACACAGCCCCAACCAGCGCATCTCAACTAATGGGTCCCAATCCCGCTTTTGGGGATCCACAGGTTTGCCGTATAGAGTTTTACATCTTGAGTTTCCCTATGATGCCAACATTCTAGAAATGATACGATTATGTTCTATAGCATCTGAAGGCTCTAAAAAAAAACAACTATTCCATCATCTCTGTTCCAGTTCTATGGTATAGCGGACTCCTCAGCGATCAAGTAGTGACACCAAGGGACGGCCACTTGCCCCAAGGTGCTGCACAGACATGTCCCCAGCAATGTGACCAGAGAAGAGTGGGGGGCATGGAGCTGGCCCCCAGACACACGGGCGTCGCACGCGGCAAAGGAAGGAGTGTGCTCCAGGCCAACGTGAGCAAAGCTTCGGTTTCAAAACAACATCGGTATCTGTTGTGCTGACAGTTTTAAATTGTGATGATTTTGTAAGTGCTTGACACGTCAACAAACGTCTTTCAATTCCTGTTCACTTTTTTAAGAGATATATGAATAAGAAATGTATACCTAATTTTTTAAGTTAACTCACACTTAAAGTTATTTTCATATTAGTATTACTTAAGTCAGCAGCAGTGGGAGTCTGAGAATTTTCCCTTGCATCCATTACCCGCTGAAGCAACGGTGACAGGCTGATTTGGTTCTGGAAGATTCTGTGAGCTGCAGAGAAAATTACTCTCTGCTTTGATCGAAAGGTGGAAGGTAGAAAGCCACGCAGGCCTGCATTTATTTGCAAACCTCAGCTCAACAGCGCTCATCGGCTGACCCGCTGTCTTGAAGCCCTTTCGGAAGTGCACAGCGCCTCAGCTCATGCGGCTTGGGGAACAACACCTGGGCCCCGGTGTGTCAACGATGGCCACGCACTTTGCCTGCCAACCTCGGAGGAGGGGGAGGAGGAAGTGCTGGGCAGAGCGCCCATGTGAACAGTACTTACACAAAGAAGGGCATCAGCTGCACCAGGGTCTCCTTCTTGGGGCTGGCGGCAAACTCGGGGGCCACCTGGATGACCTTATTCATGACGCTGCGCAGGTAGTTCTGCAGCTGCTTCCTCCGCTCCTCCACAAACTTGGCATCCTGAGAAAACAGACACACAGGGCCGCTCAGGCGCTCACTCTTTCCTCTTCAGAAAACCACCCATAGAAGATACAGCGACCGGTCATCACCACCCAGACGGCTGAAGTCGACCTGAGCGATTGCCGCGAGCAAAGGGTGTACGTAAGGCTTCCCACGTGCGATCCTGTTGAATCAACAGGGAAGACGTTCGTGATATTATTACTAAGAGGGGGACAACAGATCCATGAAACCACCTACAGTGTGTTCCCATGAATAAATGAAGTCTTAGCAACTGTGTCTGTTGTTTACAGAGGACCTACAATGTGCCAAGGCGGTGAAGGGGCCAGGGGACCTAACAGTGAGCAAAGCCGGTCACTGCTGTGTTGCTGGTGGAGGTCACAGGCCAGTGTAGGACTCACAGATAAATCCAGGCACCACACAGGTCCAAGCTGCTTCCCAGAGACAGTGTTTGATTTACCATCATAGGAAGTTTCTAAAATATGAATCAGTCATCACTATTTAAGAAAGATTTTACTGATGGGGCACTTGGGTGGCTCAGCTGGTTCAGCGTCTGATTTCGGCCCAGGTCATGATCTCATGGTTTGTGAGATCAAGCCCCATGTCAGGCTCTGTGCTGACACGTGTCTGCTCGGGATTCTCTCTCCCTCTCTCTGCCCCTCCCCCAATGGCACGTGCACATTCTCTCTCTCTCCAAATAAAATTTTTTTTTTTCAACGTTTATTTTTGGGACAGAGAGAGACAGAGCATGAACGGGGGAGGGGCAGAGAGAGAGGGAGACACAGAATCGGAAGCAGGCTCCAGGCTCTGAGCCATCAGCCCAGAGCCCGACGCGGGGCTCGAACTCACGGACCGCGAGATCGTGACCTGGCTGAAGTCGGACGCTTAACCGACTGCGCCACCCAGGCGCCCCTCTCTCTCTCCAAATAAATAAGCACACACACACAAAAAAAGATTAAAAAAAGAAAGAAGAAAGATTGTATTGAGAAGTTCCATCTTCCCTTGAAAAACCAGGATACCGGGCGGCACGGGACCATGCCAGGCTGGGGGCTGTGCAGCATGGCTCGGGAGGCAGGCACAGGGCCCCAGGTCTATGCAGTCTCTACCCTTGGTGTTCTGGGGCTCCGTCCTCTGACCCTCCACCGTCGTGTCTGCTTGGCCCTCGGCGGCAGGGCTGGTGGCCCAAGCATGCCTGCCAAGAACTACAACTGCGTGACCATCTGCCGTCCCAGGGTTGAAATCCTTAACGATATCGAAGCAAGGGTCCCCAGAGATTGTGTGGCCTGTCCTGCTCATGCAGATCTGCACTGGGGGGCCGTGGCTCATGACAAAGAAACCCTGGCCACCGTGAGGGGCAGGAGACTCCTTCTCTGTGAGAGTGATGCTCTTCCTAGATGGAAGAACCACATGAGGTAAGGGAAGGGGAGAGAGAGAGCAGGGGGAGGAATGAGGTCATCCGACCTCACAAGAACATGAGAAGAGAGGGGACTACTCTCATGTGACAAATGAGGAAGTGGCAGCCTAAGAGGGTCTGTGTGAATTGTGCACGAGGTCCCACGGATGGAGCATGGCCCTCAGCCCCGCCCTCTGCCCTGTGCCAGCATGGAGGTGACCTCAAAGAGGGGCTCAGTCAACAGTTAGCTGAATGAGGCCGTGCCCAGAGGCACCCGATCCTGGTATGTGCCCGGATCTCGAGAGAAGAGTCCCCACAAGGCCCTGCCAAGGACCTGAGCACGGCAGGAGGATTCTTTTAGTGCTGCCCAATTTGGCAGATGAAAACACAGGATGCCTGGCGATATCTGAGTTTCAGATAAACAACGCATAATTTTTCAGTATTCATAACTCAATATTCAATAATTCATGATTCAAGAATTTTTCAGTATTCAACTCTACGCCACACACTGGAACTAAGAAATTACTCACTGTTTATCTGAGATTCATATTTCGCCGGGCATCCTGTATTTCACCCGGCAGCCCTTCCAGGACACGGGGTGGGAGGAAAGGTCACAGAGCTTCTGCGGCCGGCAGGCTCCCCGGATCCCTTCCAGGTCACAGCAAGGGGTTCCTGCCCAGGGCCACCCCCGCGAGCTGCCTCAGCACAGCCCTCCTCCAGAGGGTGAGAGCACTAAGGGCTGCCAAAGCCACTCCGAGTCCCGGCCCAGCGCAGCCCCAGACGGGGGCTCGGGGCTCCCGCGGCCTGGCGGGAGGCGCGCCAGGCCGGAGACCAGCGGCCAGTCATGGCACAAGCTGCAGCCACTTGTGCTGCGTTCCTGGTCTGATGGCCAGGTGCTGCTCTATGGCTTCTGAGTTTCGACCCATTGTTAGGCACTGAGATGCTCCTTCTGGGGAAGGGGGTTCATGTGGCCACATAGTGCCAAACGGAGTCCATCGGGCCTAAGTTCTAAGGGGCGCGAGAAGCCCACAGGCCCGCCTGAGAGGCTGTCGGAGGACCACCAAGGAGCCTGTGAGGCCCAGAAGTCTCTCTGTTTTTGCAGCAGGGAATACTCAACACCCTCTCAAGCAATAAGGGGAGACGGGGGAAGGCTCCCCACTCTGCCTATGGGGCTGGGCTGGGCAACAGGATCCTAGGGAGGCCAGAACGCTCAAAATGAAGGTGGAAGGAAGCTACCCAGGGGTGGAAAGTGTCTATTTTCCCTGGTCTCAGTGCCTCTTCTCACCAAGGTCCCAGGGGCAGGAGTGACGTGGCGGAAAGATGATCACCCTGGAAGAATCCCAAATCCTTCCAAGAACTCATTGCTCCAGAGCGCTGGGCCCTGGAACCCTAACCAGCCCCTGAGAAAACCCGACGTGGCAGCACCAAACTTGACATGTGGGCAAGTTTTACCTGAGCCATTCAGAGCAAGCGTGGGTATTTGTGGGATCTTTACTCACGCTGTGCAATGAGCTCTTTCCTTGGGCCGCACGCTCCCATCTGACGCTGGAGACGGAGGCTCAGAAAGAATAAGGCACATGCCCGAGGGCTCAGAATCGGGAGACAGATGGGCAGGGTCCCAGGTCTCCAACCAGTGCACAGTCAGAGCCAGCCCCAATCCAGAAGACATTCTCCAATTTATAGCAGAGAAACCTACGGGTCCTGCAAACCACAGGCTTCCCTAAGACAGAACTCAGTTCAGAGAAATTCCACCTGGGGTCAGCTCTGGCTGAAGCCATGTATCGTGCAGAGGGAAGGAAGTCTGTCACCTCAACGCTGGTGCCCGACTGCCAACCTCTACCAGGGACATCGCTTCCCTCGGGTCTCAATCCGCTTCATGAGTCCTCGCCCGTGATTTTGGCAGAGCTCCGTGGGGCAGGGAAGAGGGCAGAACCATTCACGAAAGACCTTTTTTTCCCGTGACTGTCCTTTCATTTTTACCCTTTTTTTTTTTTATTCTGGAAATTGCATAAAGCGGAGCAAACGGTACCACAAATCCCCACAACCCTTTATCTAATAAAGTCTTAGCCCTTTTCCGCGTTTGCCTCACCGTTGCTTTTGGTGAAGGTATCTTACAGAAAATGATAGCCACCGTGATACTTCACCACTAAGGGCTTTGGTACGATTTCAGAGCTAAGCAGTCCTGCCCTCGTTGGCTGGAAGCACAGACCCAGCATGTCTGCCGGCCCGCTCTCCCTGCCCCTGGCCTCCGTGGGCCCCTAGAAAACCATCCAAGAGACCACACTGCGGGATGATCACACCAGATGACAGTCCCTCAGGCGGGAAGCGCGACCCACACTGTCATCTATGGTCAGGTGGCTAAACCAGTGGGAGCCTCAGGCTTCCCATCCATAAAATGGTGGCAAGGATGGGCCCACCTCATTCAGGACAACCCAGGCTAAGCGCCCGGTAATCAGCATCTTCTGGAGGCTGTGACTGATGCCGATCCACCAGCAACTTCTATGTGGATGAGGTGATGACCCATGCTCCTGATGCCTTAGGCCTTTCCCAAGCCGTCCTCTTGGCCTGGAATACCTTGACATTTAAGTCTCTACTCTTGTGCCCCCACCACGGAGAGACCCTCCAGGATACCCCTCCTAACGATGTCCTGTTCTCTGTTCTTCAAAGTCCTCACCACTGCTTCATCATGTGCCTCTAGCTTCCCCACCTTCCTTGAACGATCTACGTCCCAGGGAGGCAGGGCCATTACCTGTCTGGTTCCCCCCAGTATCACAGAGCCCAATGCAGTGTGTGGAGATCATGAGAAGCCCCATAAATATTCACTGCAAGATAATAGAATAAACATAGGGGATGAATTCAGGGGCGGAGAAGCAGGCCACCAGGCAGAGTGGTTGGAAAGCTGTTGCCAAGTCCAAGGAGAGAGGACAAAGACCCCAGAGGGGGAGTGGTATGGAGGAAAGGAGGCTAGCCTCCAAAGGCCCTCAGGCAGGGAGAAGACAGAAGGCCGGGAGCTGGTTCTTCAGAGACTCCACTTGTCACACGGGGGCGCCCTGGAGGAGATCACTGTCCTGTCAGAGCCTGTCCCCACAGGGTCGGTTCAGTGCTTAAGGGGACAGGACAGATTTCCATTCATTGGTTGGGCTCCTGGGGCTGCAGTGTGAGAAGTGAAGGGAGGGGATGGAAGCCAGCTCAAGGAACCTGCCAGGCTCCTCTGGGGGCCCCCTCCTGAGCTGTGGTGGCCCTGCTATTGTTTTGTGACCCTAGAGCCATTAGCAGCGCTGGGGCTCAGTCCTCGCCTCCGCCTCTGAAAAGAACACTCAGGGCTATCTTACTATGAGCATTTGCCTTCCTCCAGAAAGGTTCATTTCATTTTGAGCCTCGAGAAGACAAGGATACCGTCACATCAAGAGCAGCAATTTTAAAAACGATGGCACACTGTAAACAAGACAATAAGCCACGCTTCCTAGAGCAAATGCTCGGCCCCCCCCAGCCCCTCCACTTTCTGGCATGGTCTTCCCTGGGCTGGCCTTCTCAGCCAAACGCCCCCCCCACCCCCTGAGGGGACCTGCCCTGGGGCCACCCTTCCTGGGAGCTGCCTGCCAGGTGGGCA